TCCCGCGTAGCGTCGGGAGGTTCCAGATGGAATCCCACCCCGGAACCGTTCCAGGGTGAAAATCCATCTGGAACCCTCTCCCGACGCAAAACGGCTCTGTCGGGGATGGGGTGGGTGTACCCGAGCTCCCAAACTGGCCATGTTCCAAATGAAATATTGTATTGAAGGGCTTGGTTTTCGCGGCTGGGCCCTCCCGCGCAGCGTCGGGAGGTCCCAGATGGATTTTCACCCCGGAACCGTTCCAGGGTGAAAATCCATCTGGAACCCCCTCCCGACGCAAAACGGCTCTGTCGGGGATGGGGGGGGGTACCCGAGCTCCCAAAATGGCCATTTTCCAAATGAAATCTCTTTTTGGGGAGCTTGTTTTTCGCGGCTGGGCTCTGCCGCGCAGCGTCGGGAGGTCCCAGATGGATTTTCACCCCGGAACCGTTCCAGGGTGAAAATCCATCTGGAACCCTCTCCCGACGCAAAGCGGCTCTGTCGGGGATGGGGGGGGGTGTACCCGAGCTCCAAAATGGTAATTTTCCACATGAAATCTCTTATTGGGGAGCTTGTTTTTCGCGGCTGGGCTCTCCCGCGCAGCGTCGGGAGGTCCCAGATGGATTTTCACCCCGGAACCGTTCCAGGGTGAAAATCCATCTGGAACCTCTCCCGACGCAAAACGGCTCTGTCGGGGATGGGGGGGGGTGTACCCGAGCTCCCAAAATGGCAATTTTCCAAATGAAATCTCTATTGGGGGGCTCGCGGCTGGGCTCTCGCGCAGCGTCGGGAGGTCCCAGATGGATTTTCACCCCGGAACCGTTCCAGGGTGAAAATCCATCTGGAACCCTCTCCCAACGCAAACGGCTCTGTCGGGGAGGGGGGGGTGTACCGAGCTGTCAAAATGGTCATTTTCCAATGAAATCTCTTATTGGGGGGGGGGGGCTTGTTTTTCGCGGCTGGGCCTTCCAGCGTAGCGTCGGGAGGTTCCAGATGGATTTTCACCCAGGAACCGTTCCAGGGTGAAAATCCATCTGGAACCCTCTCCCGACGCAAAACGGCTCTGTCGGGGATGGGGGGGGGTGTACCCGAGCTCCCAAAATGACGATTTTCCAAATGGAATATCATATTTAAGGGGGCTTGTTTTTCGCGGCTTGGCTCTGCCGCGCAGCGTCGGGAGGTCCCAAATGGATTTTCACCCCAGAACCGTTCCAGGGTGAAAATCCATCTGGGACCCTCTCCCGACGCAAAACGGCTTTGTCGCGGATGGGGCGGGTGTACCCGAGCTCCCAAGATGGCCATTTTCCAAATGAAATCTCTTATTGGGGGGCTTGTTTTTCGCGGCTGGGCCCTCCCGCGCAGCGTCGGGAGGTTTCAAATGCATTTTCACCCCGGAACCGCTCCAGGGTGAAAATCTATCTGACCCCCTCCCGACGCAAAACGGCTCTGTCGGGGATGGGGGGGGGTACCCGAGATCCCAAAATAGCCATGTTCCAAATGAAATCTTTTATTGGGGGGCTTGTTTTTCGCGGCTGGGCCCTCCTGCGCAGCGTCGAGAGGTCCCAAATCGATTTTCACCCCGGAACCGTTCCAGTGTGAAAATCCATCTGGAACCCTCTCCCGACGCTAAACGGCTCTCTTGGTGGCTTCTGTGAGGAGCCCAATCAGGGCTTCTGTAAGGAGCCCAGTGAGGGCTTCTGCAAGGAGCCCAGTGAGGGCTTCTGTAAGGAGCCCAGTGAGGAGCCCAGTGAAGGCTTCTGCAAGGAGCCCAATAAGGGCTTCTGTAAGGAGCCCAGTGAGGGCTTCTGTAAGGAGCACAATAAGGGCCTCTGTAAGGAGCACAATGAGGGCTTCTGTAAGGAGGCGAATAAGGGCTTCTGTAAGGAGCCCAATAAGGGCTTCTGTAAGGAGCCCAACAAGGGCTTCTTACAGGAGCCCAGGAAGGAGCTGACAGAAGCCTTCTGGGAGGAGCTCAAAATGGGTCCAGATGGGTTTTCACACCGGAACGGTTCCAGGGTGATTCTGGAACCTGACACGGTCAGTGTCAAGCTTATAGAATCACCCCGGAACGGTTCCAGGTGATTCCAGAACCTGAAACGGTGGATTTTGACGGAGGGCCCCGCTGGCTGTGTTCACATGCGTCCCGCACCACACAGTATGGCGCTTTGTGGTCCGATAGGGAGCTCCACCCAAGGCGCTATCGTTTGTGTTCACATGCGTCCCACGCCACCCACTACGGCGCTTCGTGGCCCCACAGGAAGCTCCACTGGCGGGGCCCCAGGTGCTGTGTTCACATGCGTCCCGCTCCACCTAGTACGGCGTCTCGTGAACCCATACGGAGCTCCACCGAAGGCCCCAATGGCTGTGTTCACATGCGTCCCGCGCCACCTAGTACAGCGTTTCGTGGCTCTGGGGCGAGGGAGGGGTGCAGCTGCGCAGGCCCGCTGTAGTCGACGACGGCGACGACGACGACGAGGACGAGGATAAGGACGAAGACGGGGACGACGGCGGACGACGTCGGCGGGCGACGACGACGACGACGACGCACTGCGGATGCCCCCCCCATGGGGGGGTGGGGGGTGATGCGTAGGCCCGCTGTAGTCGACAACGACGACGACGGCGACTGCAGAAAAATTGCCAGGGGGGCAGACGATGAACACATGAGTTCTGGCGTCTGGATTTTATTAACTTGCCCAACTCATGTATTTTGAGGCCCACCGGGGGGGGGCGTTTTATTAAACCGCTTGCTCCCATTCACACCGTAACCCTAACACCCGAACCCTAGCAAGACAAACGTAACGCCCGAAACCCAACCGTAACACCCTAACACTACCCCCCCTAATCCTTACACTATTATCCTAACACCCTGACCCAAATACCCGAGCCCGAATTACTTCTAACACCTAGCCCTAAAACCCTAGTTAACCCTAAGTCCCTGACTTTCGCCCCTAACCCTAACACTCTGACGATAAACCCACCGCAACTCTAACCCTTATAATCCCACCACCCTACCCCAACGCGCTAGACCTAACACCCCACCCTTCACCCGAACACCCTAAATCTTACCAAGTCCTCTAGCCCTAACGTGCAAATCGAATGCTTATCTCGAAAACCTGGTTCCAAACTCCGGATTCCGGGTTCTAGATTCCGAATTACAGGTTCCGGGTCCGGGTTCCAAATTCGGGGTTCTGGGTTCCGCGGTCGGGGTTCCCAGTTCCTGGTTCAGGTTCCGAGTTCGGGGTTCCGAATTCCGGAATCCGGGTTCCAAATACCGGATTCCGGATTCCACATTCCGGGTTCCGAATTCGGGTTCCAAATTCCGGGTGCTGCGTTCCGGGTTCCTGGTGCCGTGTTCTGGGGTGCTGGGTTCTGGGTTCTGGGTTCCGGGTTCTGGGTTCCGGGTTCCGGGTTCCAAGTTCCGGGTTTCGAGTTGCAGTTCCCGGGTTCCGGGTTCCAGTTTCCGGCTTCTGGGTTCCAGGCTCGGGGATCCGATGAGGACATGCTTTTTTGTTCATGCCCAGGGAGGGTTCACATGCGTCTCCCCCGCCCAATGCAACGCTGCGTGGCCCCGTGCGCAGCTCCACAAAAAGCCCCAGTGGCCGCGCCGCATGCGTCTCCCCTATCCAAAACAGCGCTTCGTAGCCCCATAAAGGGGGCCCCACCGAAGACCCCAGTGGCCGCGGCCGCATGTCCCCCCCCCACCCATTATATATACATATATATAGAGATATATAGATAGATAGCTCTTCGTAGCCCCATGAGGAGCTCCACTGAAGGCTCCATTGGCCGCGGCCGCGTGCACCGAAGGCTTCATTGTCGACGTTCGCATGCGGGCCTTGGGCCCATTTCGGCACACCCTTTGTACATTTCGTGGCCCCAGAGGGAGCACCACCGAAGGCCCCAATAACACTCGCATGCGATTCACACGACCACCATTACGGCACACTCCCCACGTGCTTCGTGCCCTCATCAGGAGCTCCACCGAAAACGGTACGTAACCACAACGCGGTATTCACAACTGCATATGGTTGGGTCCTTCGCCAAGATACCTTCTTTGACGGCCCTGGGCTCCGTGGAGGCCAAAATCCGGCCCCAAATGGAGGAAGCGGGTCCTGCGCACATCTTTCGAATCGTTCCAAGATCAGAGAGAACGCGTTTCACGGGCTCTTGCCTGGGGAACATTCGGCGGCGCGTTTCGAACCAGGGGCGCCCCCCCCCCCCCCCCCCCACACTCGGCGCCGTCGATCAAAACCAAAGGGACTCCCCTCCCCCCAAAACCCCCCCCCCTCCCGAACCCCCCCCCGCTCCGACGCAGCGACACTTACCACCACTACCACCACCACTGCCACCACTACCACCACTACCACCGCCTCAACCCACCACCACCACCATCAACAGCAACACACAACCACCACCACCACAGCCACCACCACAACCACAACCACAACCACAACTCACCATCACCACCACCACCACCACGAAAACCCACCACCACTACCACCACCACCACAATCTACCACACCACCACCACCGCCACAACCACCACCACTACCAGCAGCGTAACCCACCACCACCACCACAAACCACCACAAGCCACCATCACCACCGCCACCACCACCACAAACCACCGTCGTCCTCGTCGACGCTCCCCGCCACCGCCGCCCGCCGCCGCTGGCACCGGCGCCGGCCCAGAAATGGAAATCGTCGTCCCCGCCGCCGTCGCCAGCCGCCGCCGACACAAGCGCCGGCCCGAGGAGAGGGGACGCAGAGGAGGGAGGGGGGGGGAAAGGGGGGGTGCGAACCCCCCACCCCGCCCCCCCGGTCACGGGGGGGGGTTCGAACCCCCCCCCTCCATCCAGGGGGGGGGGGGGATCTGGTTTCCCCCCCCCTCCAAGCGACCTCAGAACGCGCTCTTTCCAAGATCAAATCTTCATCCCCGAGTCGACTCTTGGCAGCCCCGGGGCCCATGGCGGGCCCCCGGGGAGGGCCTCGAGAAACCCGCTCCCTCCACGGCGGGTCACCGCCGCCAGCATGACCACGGCGGAGGCGGGGAGCTCCCGGAGCTCGGCGGCGAGCGCGTCCAGCTGGTTGCCCAGGCGCGCCAGGTACTCCGCGACGCTGGGCAGGTCCTCTCCGGTATTGCAAGATGACGATTCGCAAAATAATGGGGGAGAGTGATTGACTAGTTCCCGAATCTTCGGCTTCCGCTTCGCTTCGGCTGCGTCTGGCCCGTCGACTGTCCAGGCGCGCGCCCGAAGAGGGCGGAAGGGAACGACGAACATGTAGCTTCGCGGTCGGGGGGGGGGGCAATTTTTCGAATCATCACCCTGGGCGCCGCCGCGTGGGCACGACCCCCGCTACTTTCTGGATCCGCATCCTGCACGAGCAGCTCATGGACAAGCGTTCGGCATCGAATCAGGAAACCTGGATCGGATCGGAACGCGCGTCGGATCGGGCCGCATCGGCTCGGAGGCGACGTCGAACCGGATCGGCTGCGCCAGGATGCGCCGCAGCGCCCCACAGACATCGGGCCGCATCGGACCGCCGAAATGCCAGGATCGAATCGGATCGGGGCGGCCGGCTTCGGTATCAATTCGGACCGATCGGGTCAAAATGGACCCTGTTATGGGAGCCTCGTATGTCCTCCACGTTCCATGTTCACACTATCCTGAGATGGGGGTTCTTACTTAGACGGCTCCGACTCCTGGAGCACCTTCCTCCTCCTCCTCCTCCTCCTCCTCCTCGTTCCCTTCTTCCTCGGCCACTCAGACTCACTCGTACTCAGACTTCCTCATCGACATGCCCGTACTCAGACTTACTCAAAGTCAGACCCACTCGCACTAAGACCCACTCTCACTCACGCTCAGACTCACTCGCACTCAGACTCACTCGTACTGAGATTCACTCTCACTCTGACTCACTCGCACCCAGACTCACCCTCATAAGCCTTCGCGACCACTCACTGAGGATGTCTCGAGCGAGGCGCTGGTCTCAGCACTCCCGACGGGGGGAGCCGCCCGGACGCTTCCACGGGCCCGTCCGCGCCCAGGTGTTGGGCATGTCTCGGTCGGGATGCCTGGCTGCTTGCTTGGACCCCTCTGCTTCTCGGAGCAGACTGTGAGGACGCCTCCAGCGAGGCGCTGGCTCCAGCACCCCCCAAGGCGGGAGCCGCCAGGATGCTTTCGCGAGCCCCGTCGCGCCCAGTGTGTGGGGATGCCTCAGACGGCCTCAGACGGCTTGCCCCGTCTGCTTGCCTGGGCTCCTCTGTGCATCGTCCCCTGGCCTATCCCCTCGTGCACCCCCGCCCTGGGGCCGCTGCCCCCTCCACCCTCTTCCGCCCTCCCCCCTTCTCCTCCCTTCTCCTCCCTTCTCCTCCCTCCTCCCTCCTCCTCCCTCCTCCTCCTTCTCCTCCTCCTCCCTCATCCCTCCTGTCCGTCGCAAACTTAAGGTCGAACCTCCAGGCTCAAACCCCGTGGCTTGACCTCCCCTTCGGGGGCAAGCCCGGGGGGGAAGGAAGGAAGCGAGAGTGGGCGGGCCTTCTCTAAGAAGACTCGAAAGACCCCCGGCCTTCCGAGAAGTGTTATAAGCTTATGTTGCTCCCATCGCACTTAAGGACCACATCCCAGAAATAGTTTCGAGCACCCAAACCAATATCGAAGCAATGTTGAACGAGTGTCGCCTCCCAGGGCCCGACACGCGAAAGCCCTCCAGTTTCGGTTCTTTCGTGGTGCTCGACATTTTTTTTGGCGATCAAAGCTAGAGTAGATTGGAACATCATAATTCGAGGCCTTCCGCGAAGACACCAAAACACTTCTCAGAAAGCGCGGGGGCTTCTGATAGGTCCCGCCGCCTTCTGGGAAGGCCGTCTCCTTCTCCTACTCCTTTTTCCTTATCCTTCTCCTTCTGGGAAGGCCTTCTCCTTTCTCCTTCCCCTTTGGGAGGAAAGTGCAAAGGAGAAGGTCCTTCTAGGAAGGCCTTCTCCTCCTGATTTATTCCCTCCCCCCTCGCCCGCCGCCGACCCCTCCCCTGCTCCGTGCCTGACGCTCGCCCACGCTCCTTCGATCCTCCTCCCGCTCCTCCCGCCCGGTTCCCCTTCCCGCCGCTGTCCTGGGGCGGCGAGCGAGGGGGGGCAATGAGCAGGGGCGGGCCGCCCCAGAAGGCTCGGAAGTTCCCCGGCCGTCCGAGAAGCTTTCCGAGCCTCCCCCGAAGATGCAGCAGACTTCCCAGAAGGCCAGAGGAGGGCTTCTGAGAAGTCCCGCCGCCTTCTGAGAAGGCCTTCTCCTCCTCACTTCCCCCCCTCGCTCACCGCCGAGTCATGTTGGCTCGAGCCTCGGCGACGAGTCACGGTTGCCTCGCCGCTCGCTCTTTCATGCTGCGACCCTCCCGCGTGCCTCGGAGTCCCGGGGATCCTCCGCGGGCTGAAGCCCTCCCGGGGCCTCCGCGCCCCAGCAGACGCGCCAGGGCGAAACTGGCACCTAAACCATACGCAAGCGCGTCAGGACATCGAGTCGACGCGGGCGGGCGCTGACTTTGAGTTTCACGCTAGAAGGCCACCAGAAGTTTGACGCAAGGCAGGGATACAGGCGACACATTGGCGTCAAAGCACCGCGACACAGACGAGAAGGACAACTATGTTAAAACAGTGACAAACACGTTGCGATACTAGTTTGAAACCTTGTTTCATCCTGGGTAGTATTCTCTGGTCTCCAAATCGCGGCGAAAAGCCTGGTCGTCTGGACTCAACTTCGCCTGGGTGTATTGCCATGATGCGTACGTCACTGGAGATAAATGGGCGTCGTACTTCGTGATACTTTGCACTTGTATTAACACACACGTCCTCAGAGTGCATCAGCGTGCGTCCGGTAATCGGTGAGAACGCGCCAGTTCACGTCGAGCTTACCTCGATTTGGTGTCGATCAGCGCCGACTGACGTCGGTTCGCATCGGTTCGCAGGAGCCAGCACTAGAGGCCTCGCAAATGGGCTCCGAGCAGATGAGCGCGGAGGCTCGCGCGGCTTCTTCAATGCATCGCCGATGGATCGGCGACGCATCGTCAACATCGGCGGTGCATCAGCGACGTCGGAGTGGAGAAACTTTGGCTCCACATCGAGCCGCATCGCCGATACATCGGCGATGCGGCGCGATCCTCCGATCCCATCTACTCGGACCCCATCTGGGAGGCCTGCAGTCATCGTGCTACCATGAGGAGCGCATAACAAGGAACGAAGGGGCTTTTCTGGCCGCGGCGGGCCTAGGCCAAGCACAGGTTTCACTACATGCATCTCACGGAGCGGCCCGAAAACCCGAGCCCCTCCTGATCCCAAAGCGGTCCTTACCTCGGCGCCTTCGCCTGTTTTTCCTCCGCGCAGCGTCGTGCAGCGAGCGCAGCCAGCGCGCCGGCAAGGAAGTCGGCGAGCAGGCGGATGGCGAGAGGCTCGGAACCCTCTCCGAGACTGCGGTTTCCCCGAAGGCCGGGGGGCTTCTGAGAAGCCTTGAGAAGGCCTGCCCCCGCACATTGCCCCCCTCGGCGCGCCGCCACGGTCTGGAAGGTATGCGTTTTTGTTTGCTCTGGGCTTCGACGTTTGGCCGGGGTGATTTTTTACGTTTTACTCTGGGTATGCGTGTTTTTTCATCTGGGAACTCCAGATCCCTGATTCATCGTCCCCGGGGTCCGGCTTTTTAAGGCGCCTTTTTCGTAACTGGGGGGTCCGGTTTATTAGGGCGCTTTCTTTGGATTGGAGCTTAGGGGTCCTGTTTATAAAGGCGCCCCGTCGAGGGGTCCTCCGGTTTTTTAGGGGGGGTCGATAAATAAGGGATTTGGAGTATGCGTTTTTACGTTTGGCCAGGTTTACTCTGGGTTTCGACGTTTTACTCTGGGTATGCGTTTTTTACTCTGGGTTGCTCTGGGTGGGGGAGGGGGGAGGTCCGGGTCTTGGCCAGTGCTTAGTCGATATGCTTTTGCCAGTCGCGCCAGCAGACTGGGGAGAAGGATCCTGACCAGTCGCCAGAAGCAGCCGCAAAAGGCAGACAAGATCTGGTCTGGAGGGGCGGGGGTGTGGGGGGGGGACTGGGCCCGCGCTGATCGGCGAAACAATGAGTGAACAAAAGGCGACAAGAACGCAGTGCCCATGAACGTCCAAATTGTAGCACAGGAGGCTCCAAAAAAGGAGGCCCCCCGCGAATTGCCACTGCAGGTCCTCCAGCCGCCGCAGCTGCAGGGCCTCCGACTGCTTCACCTCCTCCAGCGCCCGGATGGCCGCGGCCGCGCTCCGCCTTGCCACGGGCAGCAGCTCGCGCGCGTGCCCCAGCGTCCTGGGCTGGAGCGCGGCACGGAGGTCTGAGCTGGACGGACCACCTGCCAGACCACCTCAGCCCAACCCGAACACCCACATTTCGAGTTTTTTTTTTGGGGGGGGGGGGCGGGTGCCACGCGTGTTTTTCTCTCAGTGCTCCCCAGCGCCCCACCGCTGGGAATGGAGGGCCGGTTGGGGCCCTCGGATGGGTTGGGGTGGTTTGGTGGGCTTGGTGATGGGTACGGTCAGGAACTGTTGCATATCGTGTCGCGGCAGCAGCCCCGGCGACGCGCGATCCCTTGCACGCGGATGGCGTGTCGCTGCACTCTGCGGGGCGCGAGGCTGAGAAAGGCTCGCGACGTTGACGCTGGAAGGCCGAGAACAGGATAGCGTGTCGCACAGAGGCGCGGTGGGCCAGAGCCAGCGGCGCGACACGCTATCCTCCAAAAGTTTCCGACCAACCCAAAGGGTGGCACCCTCAGATCCAGGCGATGCATTTTTTTCACACTAGGCGTGGGCGCCACTTTTCGGGCCCAGGGACTCTCACAGCTCGATCTGGCTTGAAAAATGCCCCAGGCAGATGGGGTCTGGGACCCTGGTCGTGACTTTTCGCTATGTTGCCTCCAGGGTCGAAACTGACAATTTTTTCGAGCCGCATCCAGCCGTGGCGACGGGGGACCCTTCCTTGGAGGGGAAGACAACGGGGACCATGATCAAGACTGAACCCGGAAACGCCGTCTCGATCTTGGTCACCGTCGATCGTTGTCAGCATCAAGTCGTGAATCACCCTCGCGAATCGGCGAAAGCCAGCATGGACCATGACCAAGATCGGCGTCGACAAGATCCCGCGACATGTAGGTCATGGCCGGTATGTTCCTTCCCTCGATTCCCCCCCCTTTGTGCTGGCCGCAGCCAGTAAGGGGCCACCGAAAGAGAACGAGGAGGAGGAGGAGGAGACGGAGGAGGATACGGAGGAGAAGGAGGATGAGGATGAGGAGGAGGAGGAGGAGAAGGATGACGAGGTTAGAAAGTAACTCACGGAAGGCGTTCGTCGTCCCCGTGGCGCCCAATACCACGCCCAAAAGCGCGCAGAGCGGACGTGATGCATCTCCCTCACTTGAGCAGGGACCGACCGTCCCGGCATTTCTATCGGCCTACCACGAATTTTCCTTGGAACCAAAACATGTTCTAATAACAATAGCAATGTTCTTAGAACATAAACCAGATGTGCAAAAGCACGACAGCCCCGGCCAGACATGTTTTAAGAACACTTCGTGCAGACCGCACAAAAGGTTCTTAGAACATTGCTTGGTAGGCATATAGGCACACCTGGCGTGACTCACCTGGCGTGAGCGCAACTCGGCGCCCAAGACGGCTCCCAGTCCTGAGGCCGCTGCTGGCGCACTCCGCCGTGAGCTCCACGCCGCGCTGCATGCCCACCGTCGCGGCGGCCGCGCCGCCCTGCGCGACGCCGGCGCCCGCCCGCAGGGCCCACGCGGACTGCTCCGCGGCGGCGCCCGCGAGCCAGCAGGCCTGGCCCCCAAGCTGGCGTGCGCGGGCCGCGGCCCCACGCAGGGCGGCGGCCACGGCGTCGCGGAGCTCCTCCATGTCCCGCAAGGGCCGCCCGGGCGGAGCCTGGGCACTGCCGCACCGCGAGAGAGGCACGTCGGGAGGCCTTCGGCAGTTTCTGGCCAACGGGGCCCCTCCTCGGGCAAGCGGGTGACCATCAAGCAGGGACTGCGGGGGTCTGGGTGGATGCGTGTCTGTGGGCCCTCTCGGAGGCAGGCAAGGACTGGCTCGTGGCGCAAAGTCTGGGTCCGAAGGTAACTCGGACACATCACATCACAGGGACACATATGGACGCCGAGATGGGGAACTGAGGGGCATGGACATACAAAAAGGACGGGCCGAGAACGGGCCCCGGGGAGTGGGCCGAGACCTCCAGGGGCAGGCGCTGTGACAAAACCCACGACGTCGGGGGGGCCAGGAGGGCGGTGCGCTCGCTGGCAGGGCGGGCCTCGCCCGCGGGCTTCCAGATCGGCGTGCCAGGCCCGCCCTTTTGAGCCAGGACGGCGGCGAACTCCTCCGCAGGATCGAGGCAAGATCGAGACACCACCGCGCGGAGATACATCGGGAACCTCCTCCTCCTCCTCCTCCTCCTCCTCCTCCTCCTCCTCCTCTTCCTCCTCCTCCTCCTCCTCCTCCTCCTCCTCCTCCTCCTCCTCCTCCTCCTCCTCCTCCTCCTCCTCCTCCTCCCCTCCTCCTCCTCCTCCTCCTCCTCCCTCCTCCTCCTCCTCCTCCTCCTCCTCCGCCTCCTCCTCCTCCTCCTCCTCCTCCTCCTCCTCCTCCTCCTCCTCCTCCTCCTCCTCCTCCTCCTCCTCCTCCTCCTCCTCCTCACTCCTCCTCCTCCTCCTCCTCCTCCTCCTCCTCCTCCTCCTCCTCCTCCTCCTCCTCCTCCTCCTCCTCCTCCTCCTCCTCCTCCTCCTCCTCCTCCTCCCCTCCTCCTCCTCCTCCTCCTCCTCCTCCTCCTCCTCCTACTCCTACTCCTCCTCCTCCTCCTGCACCGAGCCGGCATCTCTGGAGGGTGGTCGGGGATCCGCGGCAGTTCCGGAACGCCTTTGAGCGATGTGCAAGCGACCTGGCGTGCTCTGGAACGACTCGTGCCTGTCCTACCGGAGGCCTGCTTGGCTCCTCCTCCCCAGGCCCAGGGCGTCCCATGCGCACGGCTCCAGAGCTGTCGACTCCATCTTGCGCGGGTCCTGGGATCTGGACGGGCTACGGGAGGTCCCAGAATAAGCAGATCGTGCCCTCCTTGTTCTCCCGGGGCGCTCGCTGGGGGCCTGGGTTCGGCCATGTCTTCCTTTTCCTATGCAACGCTCGCACGGAGGGTAGTCTTACTTGCGCTCTCTGAAGAATTGGCTGGCCGACCCACACTTAGAATGGCTGTTTGGGCTCCTGCGTGCCTTTGCTTCCAGAGGCAGCTTGGGTTCCTATGGCTTCATGCGGGTGGACGTGCCGCACGTTCTGACGATCGCCTCGCTTACTGTGGGTTCCTGCGGGCTGTCGTGCCCGCAGTTTTTGGTGGCAGGCATGAGCCAGAATATAAAACAACATCTTAGACGGGGTCCGAGTAGATGGGGTCGGAAAACCCAACTCCGAGACATCGGCGATCTGTCGGCGATGCATCGGCGTTGTGCCGGCGATGCATCAACTTTGTGGGATGCATCGGCGCCGTCGGCGTGGAGGAAGTCGGCCTCCACATCCAACCGCATCGCCGATGAATCAGCGACACGTCGCGATCCTTCGACCCCATATATTCTGGTCCTATCTGGGAGGCCTGGATATCTGGGTTCCGGGTTACTGTCCGAAGGGCGGTTGTGCCGAACTGTCCATTAACTGCTTGGTTTCCTGACGGTTCGAACGGGCGGTTGCGGCGCAGCTTGGGGTAAGATGGTTGCCGACGACGTGAAGTGTGCGTGACTGGCGCACATAGAAGGTTTGTTGATTGTTTCATTTGTATGTCTTTCCTTCTCTCTCTCACACGTACACACACTTACGCACACTTATACACTCTCTCTCTCACACACTTACACACATGCTTACACACTCGCGCACTGACGCACTTACATTTACACACACTTACACACTTACACACTTACACACTTACAAACACACTTTCACACACTTACACACCATTCCACACACTTCCACGCACGTACACATTTACACACTTACACAACCTAGCACACGCACCTACACACTTATTCACTTACACACGTACGCACTCTATCATTTACACACTTTCACACTTACATTTACTTACTTACTTACTTACACACACTTAAACACACGCGCACTGACGCACTTACACACTTACATCACACTTACACACTTGCCACACTTACACACTTACACACACACACACACACACTTACGCCCCTACACACTTACACACAAACACACACACACACACTTACACACTGACACATTTACACACTTACACAAGAACCCGGGATAAACACGTTCGGGGCCTGGGGGGGGACAAGGGGAGGAGGGAGAGAAGGGAGAGGGGGAATCATCCCACAGCCCTGCCACACGCTCGTGATTGTGGAGGCTGATCTGGTGAGACTACCATGGCCATGCTCAGCGTTTTTGATGCTGTTCCTAGTCAACATGAGATGATAACAACTTCGATTCGCAATTTCCCCCGTGGATTATCACGTTCGGCCTCCGCGCCCATCTCCACAATTAAACCATATTGAACTGGGATAAGAAAAAAGAGTGGGTTAAAAGGGGGGTAGGTTTTATTATCCGAGGCAGGGGGTTACACGCACACGCAGAAACTGCCACACATGCGCACAAGGTGCCACATATATATATATATATATATATACACAAGGCTTCTCACAGGCACACAAAGGCCTTCACGCACAGGGTTCCACACGCAGGGTTCTGCTCACACGCAAGGCTCCACATACGCGCACATTTGAAAATTACAAGTGTCAAGCTGAGCTCGATACGGGTGGAACGGGATGTCGGCGAACTACCTGGTTCTTCCCCCTTCCCGCCCCCCACGACCCCCCACGCCCTTAAACTAACGTTTTTGGCGTGGCGGCAGCGTGAGCCCCACATACTGCCGCGTCCTCGTCAGGGCCCGCTTCTGCAGCAGTGCGGGCAAATTCACGCTGGACCGGGCCAACGCCCACCCATCTTCAATCACCCCTCCCTCCAGGCGGCAACAAACGAGACTCCCCTGAGGCACAGGGGCCCCGCGACACAACACTGGCCGGCTTCAACGTGAGATCTCCCTGCCTCGTCGAGCACCAGCGCGGGTTGCCCCCCCCGTTCGTCTTCCCCGTGGCACCGTCCACCCCTGCACCTACTCCTATCCGTGCCTGCAGCGCCCAACGCCCCGAAGATGATGAAGCCGTCCTTTATAACTATCCCAAAGCTTTCCGCCAGAGCGAAGTCGTGCATGCAGGCATCGTGTCGATGAAGAAACCGAAACGCTCTCGCCGGAGATCTCGACGTCGAGCTTCTCCAATCTGCTCTTCCACTCCATTCTCTTTCCCCGCCCGAATCCTAATTCTGGAGGCCCCCCCCCGTCTGTGGCGAATGTGTACGTGCATGCGTGCACATTTTCGTGGTTGTCGATGATAAAACCGTGCGACCTCATTATCCTAAACCTTCTCGCCAGGGATCTCGTCTTCGAGCTTCTTTACTATATCCTGACGTTTTTGATATGATTGTTTCGCCCTTATCTCAATTACCGAGAGGCCCCCTGTCCGTAGAGAGTTTGTGCATGCATGCATACTTGATTCGTAGCTGTCGATGATGAAGCCGTCCTGTCTAAGTATATGAAGCATTCTTGTTGGAGATATCTACGTCGGTATTATTCAGTACATCCTTCTTCGTCGCCCTAATTCTAATTCCTGAGACGCCCCCTGTCCGAAGCAAATTCGTGCACGCATGTATCTTCTCTTCGTGGTCGACGATGATGAAGCCGCCCTATCGAATCATTCTAGAACTTTCTCGCCAGGGATCTCGCCGTCGAGCTTCTCTACTACACTTTTCTACAACATGTCTTTCACGCCTTTGATCATAATTCCCGAGAGGCCCCCGTGTCCGCAGCGAGTCCGTGCATGCATGCATTCATATGCTATTCGTTGTTGTCCACGGTGGCCCAACGACCCGATCTTGGCTCCCCCACCCGACACCCCTACACATACATACCCCAATCCCTGCCGCCAACGTCTCACCACACGACGATGGTGAACTCGTCCTTGTTCAAAAACAATGATTTTGAAGGTTCGGCCGCAAAGCGCACAATTGTGAAGGCTGAGCGCGTGGAACGGGATGTCGTCGAACTACCGGCTTCTTCCCCCTCCCCCCCCACCCACGACCTTACGAGAGTAACTAGCACAAAAAAGTTTGGCGTTTCGGCAGCGTGAGCCCCCCATACTGCCGCGTCCTCGTCAGGGCCCGCTTCTGCAACAGTGCGGGCAAATTCACGCTGGAGCGGGCCGACGCATTATGTACCATATTCAATCCCCTTCCCCTCCAGGCGGCAACAAACGAGACTCCCCTGAGGCACAGGGCCTCACGACACAAGACAGCCCGGCTTCAACACACGCACACATCTGGTTGCAGTGACCCGCTTAACTATGCACTTACCCGCATCAACTGTTAGAGATCCAGGCGCTGCCATCAGCATGTGGAAAGCGTGTAGCCCGCGAATGGCCATACTCCCTTGGCATTTCTACATTCGCTCAAGAACCAAAGCCAGTGACGAGCTGCTGTTTCGCCGCTGTGACGGTGACGGCGATTTAGATGGCGAGAGTGAAGTGCTTGTGGCGATCGTGATGGTGACAATCGATAATGATGATGCTGACGATGACGACGACGATGACGATCCAGATGACGATAACGACGACGAAGAAAAAGATGACAACGACAACGACGACGACGATGATGATGCTAATGCTGATGCTGATGCTGCTGATGATGATGATGATGCTGATTGTTATATTGATGGTGATGATGATGATGCTGCTGATGATGATGATGATGATGATGGTGATGATGATGATGATGATGATGATGATGATGATGATGATGAACATCATCATGATAATGTCGGTTATGATGCATCTGATGATGATGCTGCTGATGCAGATTCTGATGTTGCTGATGATGATGCTGATGCTGATGCTGATGCTGATGATGATGATAATGCTGTTGCTGCTGCTAGTGAGGATGGTGATAATGATGATGATGCTGATAATGATGCTGATACTGATGATGATGGTGATGATGACGCTGATGATGATGATGATGGTGATGCTGCTGCTGCTGCTGATGATGATGATGATGATGACGATGATGATGATGATGATGATGATGATGATGATGATGATGATGATGATGATGATGATGATGATGATGATGATGATGAGCGGGAGTCCAGTAAGAGCAGGAGCAGGCACACCCTGCCGTCGGTTACCAATGTGTGGATAAGTTCATTGGTCCCTGCCAGGTACGAAGGCCTCGCGGCCTGGCGGGCAGCTGCGCCATTCTGGTGCAGAGATCCGTGCGTGATCCGCCCTGGCACGCCAAGGGCTGTGAGGAGGCGGAGGAGGCGGACGAGAAAGAAGCAGAACTCTCGTCTACACTGCATGCCCCGAACGGTACCCACCACCTTCACCACCCGCTGGTCTCGCGCTCGGCTCCCCCCCCACGCCTGGGAGAGCATCACGAGGCGATTAGACTCCTCCAGGGCCTACGGACTCGTCAGAAACCCCGCGAGAACCCGTAAGAACGAGAGCTCCGATGTCGTTGCCCCTGACCTACTACTGAACCAGGCAGCGCAGCAGCGGCAGCGGGGCCCACCGGCCTGACGTGCCAGATTCTGTTCGCTCCATTTTGGACCCCCGGAGTCCCCCTGGGCCCCGGGTGGAGTGCTCTGGAGGCCGTGGGGTCCTCCTTGGAAATCCTGGAGAGACCTTGGGCCAGAGCCGCTTCGACGGTCGGGAACTTTGGCGCAACGTGTCGTCCCGGCGGCCCTGGCGACGCTTTGCGAGCGGATAGCTTGTCGCTCCGCTCCGCGGGGCGGGATGCTCGGAAAGGCTCGGGACGTAGACGCTTGGGGACTGGGACGTGGATAGCGTGTCGCGCCGAGGCGTGGTGGGCCAGAACCGGCGGAGCGACACGCTGCCCAAAAGCTCCCGACCGTAGCAGCGCCCGGTAGCAGCGCGGCAGGGGCAGCGGGGCCCACCGGCCCGCTATGCCCGAGCTGCGGTGCGGCCCTTGCGCCCCGTGCTAGCCCGCCGCCAACGGGGTCATGCGCGAGGGCCGCCTGCCGAGGCAGCGGGGGGCACGGAACGGAGAGGCCGAGCGGGGGGATTGGAGGAGGAGGGCAGGAGGAGGAGGAGGAGGAGGAGGAGGAGGAGGAGGAGGAGGTGGACGAGTAGTAGGAGGAGGAGGAGGAGGAGGAGGAGGAGGAGGAGGAGGAGGAGGAGGAGGATGTATCCTGTCCTTCCCCTCCCTCCTCCCACCTCCTCCCTCTCACCTCCTCTCCCTCCTCCAGCGCGAGTCGCCAGAGGTCTCCCCCAGAAGCCAACCAGGGGGGCCCCAGGACCATCAAAGACGAACCCGCAAGACGGGCATCCACTCCCTGGGGGATTGGTTTGTGCCCCCTGGGCCGCGCATGGAAAAAAACACACATTGTCGGATGCCTGGGATCGTGAAAGCGGCCGGAATACCGTGTTAGTTCTCAAAGCCCCACACATCCAGCGGGTATCTTTTGGGGCCCTCTCGGGGGCCTCTGAGGCCGTCTTGGGCCAGCATTGGCGGCCTTCTGGGCCGTCTTGGAGCTTCGCAAACTAGACAAGTGGAGAGCCCCACAACCATCGAGCAACCTTTGCAAAATCAGCGAGTTTGGCCTCTCGGGGCCAGCGCCTCGAAGGCTTCCTGGGCCGTCTTGGAACGATCGTTCGGCGATTTGGGGCCAGACCCTGAAGGACGGGACGGGGTGGGCATCATGGAAGGCTCAAAATGAAAAGAGGCATCATACGGTGGAACATTTGATAAGGAACCCTTAGATAAGGAATCCAGGGTCTGGAGGCCGGTGGAACTCCCATCGAGGCTTGGCCATGGATAACACCGCCGCCCTCATCAGATAAGGAATCCTCGAGAGTCTGCAGCCTCCTGGGCGCATTCCTTAACCAACGCCCCCACCGTAGCCTCATCGTTTATCTTCTCATTGACTCCATTCCATGCGTCGCATGCTCTCCCCTCCCCGGGGCCGGCTCTTCATCCCCGGGAGTTCTTTGACGGCCGCTCTGGGCCTGCCAGCGACCTCCGAAGGCACCGAATCGGGGGAGCACGGGCGCCTCGACCTTGCTGCGGGGGCGCCCAAGAGAAGGGCGTCCAAGAGAGGGGCTCGCAAGTCATGGCCGAGGCACGTGCGCGGCCTAGAAGGGGGGGCAGGAGACGCCCTGAAAGACGAAGAAGGAGGCCATGAAGTCTGGGAGATCCTGCGACCCACGCCATGATATTCCCCCCTCCCCCCACCCCCAGTCATCACCACCTCTTCGGCCGCCCCAGATTGTTCGAGCCGCAGGATGTCTGGGATGCCGCTGCCTGGCAGTCTGGGTCCTCTGGGATTCCGCTGCCTAGCAATCCGGGATAACACCCGTGACCGGCCTCGCCCCCGCCCCCTCCCCCCTCCCTGGTCACGGCACGATTCGCGCCGGCGCCGTGTGGGCTGAGCCACTCTTCCGTACCCAAGCGGCGCTGGCGCGCATCATGACGTGACTGGCCCCCTACCCCCCCCTTCCCCCGGGCACGCCCGGTCTCGCCAGGGGATGAAACAACGCTCCCCAGGCTCGAGTCCTCCGGCCGCCGCGCTCAAGACTGGTCCCTGGACCCCCCCCCCCGTGGGCCCGTCTCGGACCGCGTTCCGAGCCAGGCCCCGCCGGCGGCAGCGTTCCGAGTGGCCCAGCGAAGCCCCGAGAGCAGGGAGGGAGAGCGTCGGGCGTCGATCCACTCCTCCGTGAGATCCGGCGGTGCGAAGCAGAGGGCTGCAGCATCGCACACAAAATCACGACTGGATGTCCCAATCCCCAACCCTTCTGCGGCACCTCCCTGAGCGGCTCGAGCCGTGAGGGTCCCACTCGAATCCCCGCGGAGGTTGCTAGGGAACAGGGGCACGAGCCGATACAGATGTGGGTACTGCCTGGCCGTACTTACGCAGCGTCCAGGCCAAGTGGGCTCCGCCCGCTTCGCGGAGCAGCTTAAAACCCACAAAAAACATTGGCTTTGCCAGGGAAAGCCCTCATAGCATCCACACTTTAATCCCCCGACCCCCTGGGCAACCCCTGAGGGCCCGAGACCGGGGGAAACCGCCCGCATCGCAAACAGCAAATGCCGCGCCCGGATCTTACTTGGACCTCCGCGGGGGCTGCTAAGAGTTAAGTGGATGCTACGGCAACTTGCATCTTGCCTAACTTGGCTTATGAATGACTTGCACATGCCCTCAACGGCTTTCGGGGGGCAAAGATCGGGGTTAAGCGAGCGGAGCCCACTCGCTGGAGTGACCGAAGCCTTTGCCACTCAGGGCAACCGCAGACCGCTAACAAACTGGGGTAGTTCAGATGTGACTTAGCTTGGTATCCACGCGGGGACAGCAGGCGGCACGAGCCACACCGAGGATGTACCACGGCGGATGTCTTGCGCACGCCAACAATAGGAAGGCACCAACTATACACCAACACCGATCCTGGCCAGGATCACCCTGGGCCCAGGATCGGTGTATACGCCCTCCTGCCTTGCGCAAGAAGGCATATACACCGATCCTGGGCCCAGGGTGATCCTGGGCCAGGATCGGTGTTGGTGTATAGTTGGTGCTCTCCGAAGCAACGCCGAGACCCGCTCAGTGCTGGTGGTGGCCGATGTGGGCGCCCCAGACGGCCGAGGCGACCGCAGCCACGGCCGGAGTGCTCACGCCGAGGGCGGCGGGCGCTCCCCCGAGGGGCCCCCCAGAAGCATCCGCTCGGCTGTGATTGTGGCCCTCTGTCTCGGGGGCGCGCAGGCATGGACTAGCGATCCGCGGATTTGGCGCGCGGTCGCCAAATCCATGGATCGGGGGAGGTGCCCTCCCCAAAATGCGGCCGGTGCCGCCCCGTTCGGCGGCGGAAATCCACGATTTCTCATGAAAACGAGACCCGTCGCTAATCCACGCCCCATGAACCCATGTTTGCGATCGCCTGACTGTCGTGCCCGGAAGCCGCTCAACATCCCCCTGCGCCTCCCCTCAGGTTCAGGGCTCCTCGGTCCTGGGTCGATCCAGACCCGGGTCAGTCGGGCCTTGCAGGATACCGCGCCCAAGCCTGGGTCAACGCAGCCCTGGCTCTGCAGCATCCTGCAAGACCTGGCGCTCTGACTGGTCCCCTCTGCATTGACCCCCGTCCCTTGAGCCCCGAGTTTTCTTGGGGTGGGGGAGAAGAGGGGGGGGACAATCTGCTTCCACAGCTGGTGCCAGCATGCGGATGCCACCACCCACTGGGGGGGAATTTGAAGACGACATGACGAGGCCGAAGAGGCAGAGAAGCAACAGCTCAGTCGACAATGTGCTGCTCACCTGTCTAAGGATCTGGTGCGGGGAGCCTGCTCTAGGAGGAGGAGGAGGAGGAGGAGGAGGAGGAGGAGGAGGATCAGGAGAGGAAGAGGAGGAGGAGGAGGAGGAGGAGGAGAAGGAGGGGGAGGAGGAGGAGGAGGAGGAGGAGGAGGAAGAGGAAGGAGGAATGGAGACTGCCGTGCGCGTCCCTGGAGCCCCGAGCGGCCACCTGAATCCAAGCAAGGCTTCCGGCCGACGAGGCGGCGGAGAGCACGGCGCGCGGCCGGGCGGCCGCCTCCGCGCGGCGCGGCCGCGGCGGCGAGGCGGCGGCCGCCGCCCCCAGCGGCGGCTGGCCCGCAGGCGGGGCCTGCGGCCGCACTGGCTCGTCGCGCAGGGCGCGCCAGACCTCGGGGAGGCAAACGAACCTATCGGTGAGAAAGATGCTTTGAATCGCTGTGTTGGGCCGCCGCCCCGTAGACGTATGATATATCTAAGTTGCGACACGTGCGCTCCGATGACGGATGTTAAGCTTGTAGGGGCTGGCGGCGCGCACAGGGGGGCAGGTGGAGGGGGGAAGGCTTCTTAGTAGGAGGAGGCTGCTTCTGAGAAGGCGCTGGCCATAGATCTATGTAGACAAGGCCCGCGCCTTCTCAGCAGCAGGGGTGTTTTTTTTAAGAAGCCTCCCGCCCTCCCCGTACCCTCCACTGCGCGCCGCCAAAGGGGGGGGGGGAGGAAGAGCGTCCAGATCTCTGCCGGGATGGCACATTTTCCCATCAGGGCGTCGTTCCCCAACCAGCGCTTGCGTAGGGGAGCTCTTCCTGCTCCTGCCCACGGAATGGGGGGTCGGCGTGCTGGGGCTTCGCCTGGTGCTCAGGCTGGTGGGTGCCCGTGGGCGCCTCGTGCGCTGGGCGCGTGTGCCGAGCTTCTGCCTGGTGCCCGCCGGTCGGCGCCTCGTGTGCAGGCCGGGTGTGCCGACGTTTCGCCCGGTGCCCACCCGTGGCGGCCCTGTGGGTGCCTCGTGCGCTGGGCGGCCGCGTAGATTGCACTGCACAGCTTGCACCACTCAGCCTGCGGCACACACCCTGCACCAAACAGAATGCACCACGCAGCTTGCGCCAGATACACTGCAGCGCGCAGCGCGCACCGCATGGCTCAAACCACGCAGCTTGCACAGCATAGCGCAGCTAACCACACAGCTTACACCACACAGCTTGCACCATACAATTTGCACCACACAGCTTGCACAACACAAATTGCAACATATACCTCACGCCCGATATATGGCAAACCATGGGTTACACCACATGTATTGCACCATATGGCTCACACATCCTCAATGCAACAACTCAATGAATGGGGTCAACACAGGCAACTATCGTTATCGATTTCCACTGCGCATGGATCTGGGACGAAATAATCCTTCGGGACATGGTAGGAACCTGTGGGCCGCGCATTGAACAATATCACGTCGTCGAATGTCGGGGCATGCTGGTACGCATGAGTTCGGTACCAAGGCAGCGAGAGGAAAACATGTTGGATCTGTCAGTGGCTTAATCTGGGTGAACTACTTTTCCGCGGAACACGACGTCCGATCAGTTTTGCGCATGTCCCACATCAGCTCGCACTACGGATCAAATCACATTGCCATTGAAGTCGTGAGACACAGCCAAGACGAAGAGGAAGGGGGCCACTCCAGGAGGCGTCCCGCAGAAGTGTCCCCCACACAAGTGAGTGAAGAGAAGGGGAGCCCGCGCGTGCGTACACCGACCAGGCACTGCCGAAGGCATTCGCACATCCTCGCGGCCAGGAGCAAAACCAGACAGGAGGCACGACGAGAGGGCGAGGAGGGGGGGGGCAAAGAGGAGAGGGCGAAGACACAAACACAGCCAGCAAGCACGCTGCGTCCATGACCCCACCGCGCAAGGCACGCGAGGCGGACGAGGGGGGAAGGAGAAGAAGAAGAAGAAGAAGGAAAACAACAATAATAGTAATACGATTGCGAAGAAGAAGACGCAGACGCATAAGAAAACAAATAATAATAATAATAATAATAACAATAATAGGAAGAATAAGAAGAATAAGAATAAGAAGAAGAAGAAGAAGAAGGGAGGCAGGAGAAGAAGAGCAAACTGATGACTGCTACGAGCGGTAGTGAGTGAAACTGCCGCCCCGGCCGCCCCCGAGGCCAGGGGCGAGCGCCGACGAAGTGTATCAAAAACTGCCGTGCACTGCAGTGCTGTGACCGGGAGGAGGAGGGGGCGGGGAGGAAGGAAGAAGCACACGCGAGGCGAGGACTCACGAAAAGACGCGGCGGTGTGCCGCTGGAATTGGAGCCCCTCGTCAAACTTGTGGTGGCCGTCGTACCTGTAGTAGTTCACGACTCTGAGGTGCGGCGGCCTCAGGGAATTGCGCGGGCGCGCGGGGCTGCAGGAACCACGCGGCGCTGTGCCGCTGGAATTGGAGCCCCTCGTCAAACTTGTGGTGGCCGTCGTACCCGTAGTAGTTCACGACTCTGAGGTGCTGCACAGTTGTGGTGGATGACGTGGGAGTGCTCGACTCTGTCGGGCTACATACCGAGGCGGCGACTAGTCCTGAGGGCAATGAAGCCTGCAGCGAAGAGAAAGACGACCCGCCCACACACCCACCCAGAGCCCGCCAGAGCCAGAAAGTATGCACCGAACTGGGCGTGATTGATTGCCCTGGCCGTCCTCACGCTGCTGAGGTGATGGTGGCTGCTTTGCTGTGCGGCTGCGCTGAGACTGTAATGCCATCGTGCTGCTCAACATCATGATGCTGGACTCCGATGTGCTGGATCCCGACGTAAGGCTCACCTGCGTCCGATGCTGCTGCCAATGGTGTTGCTGGGCCGCCTTCCTGAAGCTGCTGCTGTCGAAGCTGCTGCGAACAATACTGCCGCTTCACATGGTGCTGGAAACCATGGGAGTGCTTGATGCACAGGAAGTGTCGCCGATGGAGTTGCTAGATTCCGTTTGCTGGACGCTGCGGTGCTGCTGTAAATTACGATGCTGGCGTCGAAACCCCTCTAAGTCACTTGGGGCATGTGTAACCCGCATCTATGCCAAGTTCGGCCATACATAAACCACCTTCAAATGCACCTATCACCCCCTTTTATCCCCTCAGTCAACCACCGCGGTCATCCAAATGGCCAACTCAGAGCGGCGCGATCCGCCGGACGAATCCTCCAGCAAGGCCGGTTCGGGGCGCCCGCGGGCCGTCAAGACAATACACAGGCCCAACACGGACGGCCGGCCGCGGGGGTGGGGGCGAGAGCTCTGGGTGTCCGCGTCGCGGCAATGGGTCCTCGGTTTGGCCGCGCAGAAGAGCCCGGTGGGGTCCAGGAGCAAGCACATCTGCCCTCCAGATCCGAGCAAGCAACACGACCGTGCGGGTGTGCAACGGAATGAGAATGCCAACCACATGCCTCCCAGGTGGCTCCACTGAAGGGCCTTCCTTGGCGGCACACTTCGAGCCCCGCCCCCCCCCCACAGGCGATCGAGGAACGCGGGGAAAAGAGCGACTTGATCCTGCGCACCTTTTCGCTCCTCCTGGGGCCTCCAAGGCCTGCTTGGTTGTCCTGGGCCCCCCCTGGCCCTCAGGGCGGCCAACCAACTACGAGAAAACGAGGTGTGGCCTCACTTTCTCAGCGCTGGCGGGCACCATGTCCACGAGGAGGAGGAGGGGGAGGAGGAGGAGGAGGAGGAGGAGGAGGAGGAGGAGGGCCTCGCGGCCTGGGCCCCTCGGCCGCGAAAATCCCTGTGCAGGTGTGCCCTGGGCGGAGCGAAACCATCGCATCGCGTCCTGGTGCTCAGACCGCCAGGGCGTGGGCATGGATGGGCTCGTCGCTCACTGCTTGCTGTCAGAAGCATGCTAGGCAGCGTGGACCCCAAACACCACACTGTTTTCTCCCAAGCGCTATTTTGGGAAGAGAAAAAGGAAAACTGAGGGGAATGAGCGCGCGACGAGAGCCGGCCACAGTGCAAAGATGAAGGCAAAGGACCCCAAACACCACATTATTGCACCGTCGATGTGTCTGCTAGGTAGTGCAGGCTATGCGAAGGCCATGTGGTGCAGAAAACGTGGTGTAAGCTAGAGGCGGCAACGAAGCAGCAACGGGCGGCAGCGTGCCGAAGTCTCGCCGGATCCACCCAGCGCCACAAGGCGGCCGCGAAGCGGCAACGAGCGGCAACGTGGACTCCCCTCGCCAGACCCACCCGATTCCTTGCTGGCATACGTACGGTGAGGGCATGGGAGGAGGAACCGATCGATACGAAATCCTGGAAGCTGGTGGAGCACCACTTGAGGCCGAGTCATTGGGCGCGATCTAATGAGGGGCGATCAGTGTGGTGGTGGGGGGGGAGAAAGATGCCCTTGTCGGGCCCTGAAGGCATCCTCTGGGGCCCTAAAGGGCCCTTCCAGGGGCCCTAAAGGGCAGCTTTTTGGCAGCCCACGCTGCCCCCCCATGTATCTCCCCTTCACGAATGCGCGCTCAACCTCATCAGATGAGGAATCCTCTGGGGCCTGAGGCCTCCTGGGCGCAGCCCTCGACGAACCCCCCCCCGCCCTGGCGACCGTGCGGGGAGGAGGGGGAGGCAACAGGCAGGCAGAGGAGCGGAGCGGCCTCCTGCAGGGCAGCGTCCGCCTCGTCTCGGCGGCCCCCCTCCGCGCAGTCGAAATACTGAGAAGGGGGGGGGGGGCGCGGCGCTCTCAGCGGCGGCCGCGGCGCGGCGTTCTCAGCGTCGCTCTCAGCGTGGGGTCGGGGCATCGCGCCGCATCGCCCCCTGCATCGGCAGTGCGGCTCGATGTGGGGCCCGACTCTCTCCACGCCGACGGCGCCGAGGCATTGCGAGCGCCGCCGACGCATCGACGACACATCGGCGATGCCATCGGCGATGCAGCGCGATCCTCCGATCCCATCTTCTCGGAGCCCACGTGGGAGGCCTAGACCCTGACCTTCCAGAGTGCTAACAAATAGCACTCCAGACCTATAGATCTATCTGGACTGCCTCAAACCTCGACAAGAATTAGGACGTCTACGTCGTGGTGCTATTTTTTAGCCCTCCTGGAAGGTCAGGGGACACGGGGGCAGACCCCGCGGGCAGAGCGCGCGGCGACACGGTCGTCCTGGCCAGTGGACCCCAGAGCTGCGAAGGAAAACGCCTTGCTTTCGCACCCGGCGCCTGCGACCGGCCTCGGGCCCCGGACCACCAGAGATCGGCCCGGCGCAGAGGCTGCAGCAGAGAGATGGGGTCTCGGACTCCGGTCGTGATGCGAGCGCTTTCTTATGCGGCGTTTCGACATGGGGCGGGAGGGGGGGGTGTCTGGCTTCAGACCTCTGCCTGAAGCGACTGTTTGCAACAGCGCGTCCTGTGGGGGATACCCCACTTGCATGAATCAGGCGCCAAAAACAGCCAAGATCTACTCCATGGGGGGAGATGGGGTGCGAGGGTCCGCGCCAATCGGCAAAACAATGAGTACGATTATGTTGTTCCCATCCTACTTAAGGACCGCATCCCAGAAATAATTTCGAGCACCCAGAAAAGTGGCAAAAGAGTGTCAAACGAGTGTCGAAACAGTGTCGGGCAAGTGTCTCCCAGGGCCCGACACGTGAAAACCCCTGAGTTTCGGTATCTTTTCCTGGCGCTCGAAATTCTTTCTGGTGGTCAAGGCTAAAGTATAGGTTGGAACATCATAAGAGTACGAAGACGATCACGACTCTTCCGATTTTTGATTCAGGGACGTCGGCCGACCACTCGCAAAGATGCTGGCCGGGCCCATCCTTCGCCCGGGGTCGGCCTCTGCGCATCCCTGGCCGCCCGCCCGCCCTGCCGGCCCCTGCCTCCCGCCTGCGCCCTCGTGGTCGTCCGCCTGCTTCTCCCCTCCCCTCTCCCCCCCTTCGCCAGGCAGCAGACTGCCCGTGTGATCACTCTGGCGTTCTGCAACCCTTCTTCGGAAGAGGAACGGGTCCCATACCGCTGCCCTGCCCCCGTTTCGGGCCTCCTGGGAGGCCCTCGTCGCCACCGCTGGAGTCGCCTCGAAATCCCGTCAGAACGCACTCCAGAAGATGTCTGGGGAGTAGCGGTATTGGTACCTTTTGGTTTCCCCAATCCTCAGGGATCTACTGTCCCCGGTCAACCCAAACTCGGGTCAGTCGGGCGTTGCAGGATCCTGCAGGATCTAGGAGCCTGCAGGATCTTGCAGGATCCTGCACGCAAGCTCAGGTGAATGCACCCCTGGCTCTGCAGGGCCCTGCAAGATCCGGCGCTCTGACTGGCCCCCGCTTGCAATGACCCCCGTCTCTCGAGCCCCGACGCTCGAAGTCTGGACGGACTCTGGGCTGCCACGATGATGCCCAGGAGCTGCCTGGGCCAGCAACGCCACCAGGCCTGGGCCCCGGGGATGGGCGCTGCCAAGCTCGGTGATGCGGTCAGATCAGACTTCCATCCCCCGACCGTCGGGCCTGGAGTCCCCCTGCGGCGGGGTCGTGCCCCGACGGCCGGCGCGGGGATCCTCTGAGCCCAGGGCTCGAGCTCGACCGTGTTTTTCGCTCTCGTTTTCGTTCTCGGCGCTCCCCGTTCTGTCTCCGTTCCGCCTTTGCTGCAACATGACATCGAAACGAAAACGGCCCACGGAATCGCCCAAACACCGTTTCGCTCGAGCCCCGGTTCTGCACGGTCGCGGCCGCGCGCCCCGCAGAGAGGCGCCCCCGCAGGGGGGGGGGGACCCACGGGGAGTGCGCGGGGCGGCACGGGCGTCGGGCCTCGAAGCCCCTGCTGCGGGTTCGTGGCGTCACGACCTGCGCGCTGCATTTTGGTACCGCGTGGGTCGCTCCAACTTGAGCCATCGCGGCCTCCCAATAGCGTGCAGTCGGTCCGTCTAGGAAGGATGCGCGATGAGGATGCAAGGGGCCCATTTCGGAGCTGTTCGCGCGGGGCGCGGCCAACGAAAGTGGCCAAAGTGGCAACGATGCAAGGGTGTCCTTTGAGAAGGTTGCCCACCCTTACTACCCAGACCCCCGACGTCATGATGTCTTCATTACGTCGACCCCTGGAGGTCTCGACCCATTCCCCTGGACCGGCTTTTCATCCTGAGCCGTTTTTTGACGGTCTCGAGGGCCGGCAAGGGCCCCCAGACGCCGAGCATAGCAAAAAACCTCCCGTCACGATTTTTCGTTACCCCAGGGGGTCTGGGTATGCGGGTTGACTGTAGACCGTTCGGCGTCGGTGTCGGCCGACTCCGGACCGCTGGCGGCGCGCAACGCTGAACGCCCGCGCTCTGGGGCCGCCGCCGCGTCGGCGCGGCCCGAGCCTGCCGCACGCAGGCCACCCGACGCCGCGCCCTGGCGCCCTGCGCGCCGCGCGCAAGACCGTGGACGCGCCCTCGGGAAGTGGGGAGGGAGGGAGTGAGGGAGGGATGGAGAAAGGAAGAGAGGGAGAGGGAGAGAGGGAGAGAGGGAGAGAGGGAGAGAGGGAGAGCGGAGGAGGAGGAGGAGGAGGAGGAGGAGGAGGAGGAGGAGGAGGAGGAGGAGGAGGAGAGGAGGAGGAGGAGAGAGGAGCAGGAGCAGGAGGAGGAGGAGGAGGAGGAGGAGGAGGAGGAGGAGGATCGAGGAGGAGGAGGAGGAGGAGGAGGAGGAGGCAAGCATAAACTTCGGGCGTCCTTGGACGGCGGACTTTTCGCTGGCGCTGCGCCCCCGCGAGGCAACCTCGGAGAAGGGCAGCCTTCCGGCCCAGGCCACGACGCGCGGAGCGCGCTCCCCCGCGGCGCCCGAGCAGGGTCGGCCGAGCCTCCCCCCGGCGTCCAGGTCTGGCGGTGCACGCAGGGAGCCTGCGGCATCGTGGAGGGCGCAGGCGGCCTCAGGCAGTGCACTCGGGGTGCACGCCTGCCGATCGAGGAAGCGCTCGCCCGCCGCACTTGGGGTGCCGCCCACGGAGGAGGGCGAGAGAGGCGCAGGAGGAGGCGCACGCAGGAGAGAGGCAAGGGAGGCGCAGGAGGAGGGCGAGAGAGGCGCAGGAGGACACGCACGCAGGAGAGCGAGAGGGAAGGCGTGGCCCGTGGTCCTGCCGCACCCGCGCGGACACGTGCCGCCGGTCCACCTGCGGCGCGCGCGGGCCCAGTGATCCCGAATCGGATGCTTGTCCACCGAGGCCCTTCCATACATCGTGGGCGGTGCAGTGAGGGTCGACACGGGCTGCGTGCTATCGGCGGAGCTGAACGGGACAAGTACATTGGGCTGACATGCGTCCGGAGGATCATCGAGGAGAGGGCCTTCTCAGAAGGCGGCGGGGTTCTCAGAAGCCCTCCCGCCTTCTGAAAGATTTTCTGTGTCTTCGGTGAAGGCTCAGAAAGCTTCCCAGGAGTCCAGGGGACCTCCGTGCCTTTTGAGAAAGCCTTCTCCTTCTCACTTGTCCCCCCCGCTCGCCGCCGAGTTACACCCACCCGGGGCCCAAAGGTAGCCACATTACCCGTCTCCTGGAGCCCTGTCTCACATCCGCTCTCCAAGCGGCTTGCCATCCGGCTCCGTGCGTGCATGCTTGCCGCAAGGTGACCAAGGATGCTCCTCGATGGTCCCCGCCGTGGACACGTGCACACGCCCGAGCGATGCCGAGCATCCCTTGGACCCCGTCCTTCAGGACCCCGTCTTTGAACCACCGACTTCCTCTTCCCCCTCCGCCCCTGACCTTCCAGAGTTGTAAACAATGGCACCCCAGACCTATAGATCTATCTGGACTGCCTCAAACCGTTTGCCTCAGACCTCGACGAGAATTAGGACGTCGACGTCCTGGTGCTATTTTCTCTAGCCCTCCTGGAAGGTCCGGGGCGCTGCCCGCCCGCCGGCCGAGCGCCGCCCGCCCGCCCGCCGAGCGCCGCCCGCCACCCGCCGGGAGCCGCGCACCGCCCGCCGTCCGCGCCGCCCAGCGCCCACCGGTGACGCCCGGGGGTGAGCCGTGGGCGACACGCTCGGCCACTTTTTTTGATTCGCGGGTCGAGAGCGCACCTCTTCCGGCCGAGGCTAAGCGGCCGGAACAGAAGGAGAACAAGCTCGGCTACACGCCGAGAGTGACCCTTTGGGCAAGAGTGACCTTTTGGTGCGCGGCTTCTGGCGGGGCCGCGGGGGGGCCGAACACGAGCGCAAGACGCTGCTATACCGCATCGCGTTCGGCGATCGGGGGACCCTGGTGGGCCCGTGCCAAAGGTCACTCTGGCGAAAGGTCACTCTTACGCGTGGCCGACAAGCAGACGCTTCCACATCCACGGCCTCGCGGGCCGGGCCCCTTGGCCGCGACCCCGTTCTTCATACAGGGCGTTCTTCCGTGGATGCCCCGCGCGGGACGCATCCACGCGGCCGCGCATCCACGGGATCGCGCCCCGGAGTCCAGACCGCGGGGCCGTGGACATGGGTATGTTTGCTGCTCGTGAGTGAGCGAAGAAGCAAAAGACGCAAGGGGCAAGGGGCAAGGCGCACCTAAACGCCCGATGGGCGGGCCTATGAAGGCCAGAGCGGTGGACCGGGGCCCGCTCACAGCGCGCGCATGTAAGACACGTACGGGTCTTCTAAATTGTCCCACGGGAGGGACAACGAACATCGGAAAAGGGGGAACGAAGGTGGGGGGGAAGCAGAAACCCTGGGGGGAGACAAGACACCCTTGAGGGGACACAGAAATCCTGGGGGGAGCAGAATACCTCGGGAAGGGGGGGGGGAAACAACTTGGAGGGGGAGGGTGGGGGCAGAAAATATGGGGGGGATGGAAATCCTGGGAGTGGGAAACAGAAGCCCTCGGGAGGGGTAAAACAGAAATCCTGGGGGAGGGGGAACAGAAACCCTGGGGATTGGCGACGACGACGACGAATCCCTGGGGGGGAACAGAAACCCTGGGGGAATGGAACCCCGAGGGGGTTGGGAACAAAATCCATGTCAAACTATATTTTACAAGACTCAAGTTGCCAATTACTCCGCCTGCGTATTCGTTGCCAGGCCTTTCCGGCAGCCGCAACGCTTACCAGGGGTCGAAACCTTGCCAGCTGCCGCTGGGATGACAAAAACATGTCAACCCAGTGGCCACGTGGCTCTCCCAACGGTAGGGAGCCGCTGCTCAGCGTGTCGCGGCGGCGGCCCCGGCGACACGCTATGCCGTGCAAGCGGGTAGCGTGTCGCTCCGCTCCGCGGGGCGGTGGGCCAAACCTGGCGGCACAACATGCCAAACCAAAATTCCCTACCGTGACCCCGGGCTCCGCACGGCAAGTTCTGGTTGCGCTAGCTCAGGACACCACCAATCTCCTGCTTCACATAGCTCCTCCTTCTAACCCTCCATGGTGGACCCAGTGTGCCACACCGCGAGCCCGAAGCAACTCTAGATTGCCATTTTGGCCTCGTCCGTCCACGTGCCCTCACCACCTCTTCCCTGGGAACCGCCAACACGGGGTCTTCGTGTTGTTGTATTGTCAAAACAAAGGTTACAGTTAAATCAGGGAACACAGTGGCCACATGCGCGGCCACAGAGGCAGCCAAATCTCGAAGGATTCGTGATGTTATTTCGGGCTGGTCGTGGCAGCTTGTTTTTATTTTTCAGATTTCGATTTCTCGCTGTTGCCATACATCGGGATGGCCTTAACCCTCTTCTGAGAAAGACGTTCATGCACATCATCCCTCTACTCCCTCCTCAACCTCGTCGTCGTCATCCTACTTGTGTTCCTCTTTCCTCCCTCCCTTGTTCCCTTGATCCTCCTCGTCCTCGTCCTCCTCCCTCTCCCCTCATCCCCTCGCCCCCTCGCTCCCCCGATCGGAGGGCAAGGGTAAGGGGGGCAGGGGAGGGGGGAGGATGGGGCTGGGAAGAGTGAGAAGAGGAGTGGCAGGGAGGAACGGCTCGAAGATGGGAAGGGAGGGGAGGGGAGGACGGGCGAGGGGAATGGGGCGGAGGGGGACGGGGGGGGGAGGGAATGGGGTGGAGGAGAGGGAGAGGTGAGGGGGCGGGACGGAAATGGTTGTGGGGTGGGGGGGAAGGGGGTGGGGCTAGTGGGGAAAGGGGGGAGGGGTAGATGGGGTAGGGTTGAGGGAAAGGAGCGGGGTGGGGAGAGTGCAAGACACGCATCTTCAATGCGGAAAAGGTTTTTGCAGGGGAGGGCGAACAGGGCCGCCAAGGATTGAGACACGATGCCCAGGGTGGGGGACGCGAGTTTCGCTCTGAAGCAAGGGTTGTCACCCCATTCGGCTATTTGGCTGGCCCCTTTCATTTGTAGGTCGGACTGGCGCCAGGACTGTTCACCCTTGCGCCAATAGATTGTAGCAGCCCCCATGGTGCAATCGTTGTTGTTCCATCCCCCCCTACCCCGCCTCCCACTTGCGCGCCCTATGACCATCCCCCCCTCGCCTCGCCCACAACGGTACCATTTGTTTTACAGTCAGACGTCACCAAGCGAACGCAGTCGCCTTAATTTATGGTTCCAGTTTGGCCCAAAGCCATTTTGGCGAAAGTTGGGCTCTAGCATGTTCGCTGTGTTTGCAGGCGCGCCTGCAGATGCAGACCCTCCTCCTGCTGCCGGGGGCGATGCTGGAGGCAGAGGCGGAGGTGGGAGAGCGATGGGCCGAGGCAGAGGCGCAGCCCGAGGCAGAGGTGCAGCAGGGCGAGCGCAGGGCAGGGGCAGAAGCAGAGGGTTCCAACATTCACCAGCCACGAAAGCCAAAATTTCAGCCTCTCGTCAACGCGGGCTTCGGAGGGAGCAGCAAGACAACTTGGCCAGGCGAACTGTGGCAGCTACGACCGAAATGATTCATGGAGTATTTGGCCGCGCTGCATCGGTCGATGCCAACTTGAGGGGCGTGGTGTGTCGACATGTTCAGGACGATCGTGGCATTCTCGTTCCCATCGTTGTCGAGTCTCGGAATACAGGGGCGGCTGATCGAGACAGATGTTTGTTTAGCCACGTGAAAGCACAATGCTCCGGCATCAAGAGGTTCCTTGCGGCCGAGCAGGGCTTTCAACAATTCACCCATATTTTCGATGATGCAAGTATGTGGGTGGCGACCCCTCCGCACCCGTTCGCCGACACTAGAGCATTCAAGAAACCAAGAGCAAGCAGAAATGGTAAGATGACGTTCTGCCCAGTGTTGAACAAGCTTGAGTTTGTTATTTGCAGTGCGCCGGAAGCGTTGTTGAGCCCCGCCAATTCGAGAGTCAGGACATTGAGTGTAGTATCCCCAGCTGTGTGCCTTCCTGTTGCAAACTATTCAACAGTACGAGATAGATTGGACTCCTGGAGCATCGGGAAACCAGACAAGCCAGGTAAACGAGTTGACCCCGACGGATCGCTGAGCACCTCAATGGGTGATTCAACAGCTTGGAAAAATCTGTCGTTAATGAGGGACTGTTTGATGCTCAATGACAACATCGCGTGTGCTTGGGAAAGAGAGCTGGCAACCTTACGTGCGAATGCAGCGGCTCCTGAGGCCGCTGACCGTGTGCCCACGCTCTTCAATATGAATTGCCAGGGCCACAGTACTGTGTTGGTTGGGAAGCCACTTGTCACTTCTATTCCAGGCGCCTGGGGGGGCACACCAAACCCTTGACCACCAATTTTCCGTGTCCGCCCTGACCCATCAATTTGAAGGTCCGCCGTCCATCTCGTCCATCCCTCATTATTTCATTCCTCCCTGCCCGCGTTTGCTCGCCAGCCCCCGCTCAGCCAGAAATCCAATGGTTGCGTTGCTTTGTGATTGCCAAAGGCCTTGCGACAGCTGCAGTTCGTCTTGGGCACGCGTGCCAAAATTATAGGCAGTGGGAGAACATATTGAAAGCGATCAATGCCATCGTGTCCCGCGATTTCCAATTTCGGCCGTGTCTTGAACTCCCGGATCAAGCTGGGGATTGGGTAGCTACGACTCGAGCAAAATTGCGGTTGTCTTCCAGCGCCGACCATCTATCTGAAGATCAAATCAGCAAAGCCTTAGGGATCATCAATTGCGACACCGACGGCCTTGAGTGCATACACTACTGCCTGCCAGCGTGCACGTGTGGGCGTTCGGAGGCCTCTGCGAAGGCGTTGTTTTTAAGTACTGTGTTCGGGCTTCTTGGCAAAGGTTGCGTGCTTGCCCTTCTTT